TGGCAAGAAGGTTGACATTTTAAACCTTAATAAAAAATCGATACAGGGCTTTAGAATATCGATACAGTATCAGGAAATGAAATATCGCGATATTTCAGTATATCGTTATTTTCTTACACCCGTAATAAATACTGTTTCAGTCACATTGTAATATTTTCAGTGTCACCTGGTAACAAAAGAGACTGACAGTAACTGAGTTCAGTCTCTGTTACCATGGTGATCTAATTAGGTTCAGACTCAGTCTCTGTTACCATGGTGATCTAATTAGGTTCAGACTCAGTCTCTGTTACCATGGTGAGCTAACCAGGCCTAAAGAAATCCTTTATGACTGAAAGCTTTAGGTTTAGCAGTTGTCTGACCTGTTCTCTCTCTGGTGATCCACTGACTGAGCATCAGAACCTCATGAACATTAAAGTCTCTGATTGGAAGAAGAGCTCTTCAGGTTTTTAACATGGTTACTCTCTTCCTTGTACGCTGCTGCACTTGAACTTGTGAAACACAACATGCAACACATCCTCTGGTATGTCGTGTCCATTTGCGTATTATATAAATAATGATGGTGGGCCGCCATGACCAAAAAATGCCCGGGCCGTTTTTTGGTCCAAGTCCAGCCCTGGGTGGCCCGGATGTGGTTTTCCAGAGGGGGTTAATAAGTGGGCCATTACAACATAAACCAAACCACAACTGGGCCAGTTCTGGCATGATATCCAAAAAAGTGCCATCATTGCTAGATATGGCTCACGTCTGTTAACAAACCACTTGTCATACCATCAGTACCAGTTGACCTGGTCCTTACTTGTTAGCCATGTGGGTAACTTTACTTGTTAGCCATGTGGGTAACTTTATTTTAATAAGTTGAGATTATCAGAAATTGTGATGGTTCAGTAAAGTCTGCAGGAGAATATGTAATGATGTCTCTTCTGCTGACTGGTCCCCTAACTCTAGTTCTGTTAATACAAGCTGCATCAGGTAAAATACTACTACTACTACTACTACTACTACTACTACTACTACTACTACTACTACTAATACTAATAATAATAATAATAATAATAATAATAATAATAATTCTCTCCGTGCATGCGTGGGTTCTCTCCGGGTACTCCGGCTTCCTCTCACAGACCAAAAACATGACTGTTAGGTTAATTGATAACTCTAAATTGTCCCTAGGTGTGAGTGAGAGAGTGAATGCTTGTTTGTCTCGTTTGTCTGTGTGTGTCCCTGTGATGGACTTGTGACCTATCCAGGGTGTACCCCGCCCCTCGCACTAAGACTGTTGGATATGGGCACCAGTGACCCACGTGACCCTGAAAAGGAAGAAGCGTGTACAGAAGATGGAT